AGACAGAGACAGAGACAGAGACGGAGACAGAGACAGAGACAGAGACAGAGACAGAGACAGAGACAGAGATGGGGATGGAGATGGAGTCAGAGACAGTTGAGCATGGCAGTTGCCGTCAACTTCAATAATCTGTTGGCTTTCTTATTCTGATGTTGATCATTGTCTTTTGTGTTGCAATGAACAGTTAATTTTGTCAACCGCTCACAAGGCAAAGGGAATGGAATTCCCTACTGTTCAACTGGGAGAAGATTTCCAAGAGGTGAGGGCAGAACCACTCTGAATATTCTTGGCTCAAATTCCGAAGACAGTTTCCGGAAGAGGGTTGTGAGAAAAACAAGCTAATGAACACACAAAGCTGTCAATGTGAACACTTGAACCACCAGTCCCACCAGGCGTATTTTTTATTTATTTATTTTTCCAACCAAACAAAGCCTCTTCTATTATGGGGGGCATCAGTCCAGTTGCTTATCACTGGCAAGCAAGTCTTTGACATCCATCGAAGGATGGGTGGAGAACAGACAAAAGAAAAGCACTGGCCCTACCCTTGTGGTACTAGATGCCTATCAAGGGGGAAACTACTACAGAACATCCCTCCCTCCAAGCCTTGGCCTTTCATAGGAGATTGGCCTGCAGGCTGGGAAGCTTACTAGCAGCACTCAGTCACGCAGCAGGTCAAAGCTTGGAGAGGTCAGGCACGAGGGGGGCGCCTGTGGCAGTTCTTCAAGCCGCCTGTTAACCGACTGATTTCCTATCTCTATTGCCTTCATGGCCACTACCATCACCCCCATTCTATTGTAGCCATTTGACTGCCACCAAGCATACTTGTACGAAGCAAAAAAGAAAAAAGAAAAAAGAAAAAAAAAAAGAAAGGAGGGCCTGCCCAGGATGAAACGCCACTCCTACGTGGGTGACAGCAACTTTGATAGAAATATGAACTCAGCGTGGCACAGATATTTTTCTGCGCCCTTAACCATGTTTGTTTATTTTTGTGTTACCTAATCTACATCCCTTGTTTTTTTTTCGCAATTTTTTTTCGCTGGAAGTCAGGGGGGGTGATACTCCACATTCAGTGAGTGGTGGAATGAATGCCATTTTTCAATAGCCCTTATCGATGTGACCAGCAAACATTCTTCCCGGCAACGACAGGACTTCCGGCTCTCGGTGTTCTCGCCTAGATTCTCATGATACATCTAGGGCTAACAACCAGTTTGTCACTGGCATCAGTAGTGAAGGACATGAAAAACACAAAAATAAAAGTCTGGAGGAAATCTATCAAGAACAATTCATATAATCATATTCTTATTTCAAGTATCTTTTATGATCCTGGCTGCAACAACTCAAAGAAAGACAATGCTGTTCAATCGTAACTGAAATGCAAGGACAGAAATAAGAATGGAAGAAGAAGAAGAAGATGAACACCAGCAAAGACCAATGTCAATCCCCCTTCATCTCGCCACCATCTGCAACCTCCTTCTACTCCCCCAACTTCTTCTTTACATTAATAATAATAATGACAATGAAAGAATGAACCAGAACCAATGTCCGAATCCTCTCCTTGCTGCCAGCCTCTCAAGAGGTCCACCATACCCATCCCTTACACCTCCCCCCTTCTTAGTCATGTAGGTGGCTATGGCGGACTAACAGAGCAAGAGTTTCAGAGGACAACTCAAAGCTAATGTGTCCCTCCTACTGCCAGCCTCTCAGGAGGTCCACTATAGCCATCTTGTACAACTAGGTCGCTATGGCGGACTAACAGAACGAAGCTCCAATGTTCAAAAAGACAACGCAAAGCTAATGTGTCCCTCCTACTATGGCCACCATGCCTATCACTACCCCAAAATCTTCCTTGTGGAACTTGACACCAACTGCGGCCTTCCAGGTGCAGCACCAGCCAAGAAGATGAAGATGCAGATCACTATAGCCAGGTAAGGACCCTCACCACTCTCCTATTGCTCACCGTTTTCCTCCTCCTACTCCTTCCCTGGTGTCTTCCTCCTTGGTCCTCTCCACAGTAGCTACCGTGGAGGACCAGGCCAGCCTTCTTCCTCCCCAGCGCTGCTACACTGAGTGCTCGGTCCACGCTGGAAATGAGGAAGAGTGTTCCGCTCTCCCTGAAGATATACTGGCCTGCTGCCTCTTCGAGCGGGTGACTTTCCAGGCCGCGCGACCTCCCAAGCTACCGGTACCTTCTCCATTTCGGAGGGAAACATCATTGCAGTCTGATATCCCTTACTGCAGGCCATAGACTAAGACTACTGGACCAGTACCCCTAGACTCTAAGGCTACCGGAATTCTAAAATTCTTTCGGTCGGGCCAGTGGCCTAGCTCAGTTGCTAGAGCACGTAAGTGGCATTCAGGAGGTTGTGGGTTTGATTCCCCACGGCATCCATTGGACTCCCTGCGCCACACTTCGGGATCGCCAGCGGAGATAGATGGCTTGTCCCCCTAGCTAGGAGTGGCAGGGTATTTGGAGCCTTCATCTCGTGTCACGGTTAGGAGAAAGCTGCGGTGGTCAGACACGGGTGGAGGTCGGTGCCAACTCATGACTATAAGGGGCCCCAGCTGGTGCGCATTGATAGACTGCAACAATCAATACTTGGAAACTGGGTTAAGGTAGAGTGCGGTATACAAGTGAAGAATATAGATTAGTTTTTTTTTAAATAAATAAATAAAATAAAATTACTTCGGCCTCTAAAGGTACGAACTTTTTGTCTTATTCTGCCTACCTACCCGCTACTTGAGTGTTTTTCAATCTACGCAGGCCTAGCCTACTAAGTTCCCGCTGCAACCACACAAAAGCACGGCTACAGGTAAGAACCAGGCCCGAGGGCCTTTCCTGAACACAAGTACCCTGGCGGGTCACACACACACCCAAGTCATCATGCAGTCAGACAAACACACAGAAACTCAGCAATCATGCACATACACGTACTCAGTAAGTCACACAATCCAGCAGCAAAACTCAAAAAACAGCAGAGTTCTCAGTCTATGATTTTGCAGGCCATTACAGTATCAGTAGTGAAGGACATGAAAAACATAAAAAATGAAGTGTTGAGGAAATCTCCCAAGAACAAATCATATCGTTATTTCTATTTGAATTATTATGGTATTACCTGGAAATAAAGAGGGCCTTACGGTCCTGGTTCGATTCTACTCTGGGGAGCATCACTCAGTCCTCTCTATTTTCCACGGGCAAGTCACAAAAGCATACACTTTAATGCTTTCCTTTTACAACGGCCAGGGGATACTCCAACAGCATTGATTACTCCCTCAGACGTAGAATTGACTGTCTAATCTGCCCCGTGCATGTGTCCAGGTTCCTCTCCCCTTTACTTTCCTGGCCTGCCCCAAATGAACATGCCTGAAAAGGCTGAAAATCATATTTAGTCGATTTGTTCTGCGTTAAATATGCCAACGAGTTGAACATGCAATTCCAAAGCATGATTAAAGACTTGGAGAGATTTTGATGAAGTGGAAATGTAGCAGCGCTGATTGGATGGGATGAACTCTTGTCAATCCTTCACAGCTACATCAAGTGGGATGCAGAGGAGCAGCTTTTGGGCCAACCGAAGAAGAGAGACCTACTGCGGTTTTCAATCTGCTTCTTAATATGTTCGGAGGTGCTGGGTACGGTGGTCCTGTACATGATTTGTATGATAGAGAGGTAAGCCCCTCACTCCCTCCACTCCCGCGACCTCCCCCTCCTTTCGCTTTCCTTGTACATGATTTGTAAGATAGAGAGGTAAGCCCCTCTCTCTCTCTCTCTCTCTCTCTCTCTCTCTCTCTCTCTCTCTCTCTCTCTCTCTCTCTCTCTCTCTCTCTCTCTCGTGTGTGGTTTGCAAGCCATAAAAGATATGAGGGGTTCGGAGTCCTCAGACATGAAACACATGGCGAACGTTTCTGTCCAGTATTTGAAATGAAAATCGTAATCATTGAAGTTGCTAACCGTTCCAGCCCTGTGAGTTCTGATGGCACACATGGTCAAAGCACTTGCAGCCACTCTCCCATCTGCTAGAAAATGGTAGGTGTTTCCCCTCTCTCTCTCTCTCTCTCTCTCTCTCTCTCTCTCTCTCTCTCTCTCTCTCTCTCTCTCTCTCTCTCTCTCTCTCTCAGGTGATAAGACTCTGCAGCATTGTCATATGGAGAGAGAGGAAAGCGAGAGAGAGAGAGAGAGAGAGAGAGAGAGACAGACAGAGAAGCAGACAGTTTACATAGGGAGAGCAGGGAGGTAGTTTAGGTGGTCACGTCATCTGGAACTACGACGTTGTTGTATTGATGAAAGGTGACAAGAAGTTGGGCGTGCTTTTGTCATGAGACTTCATTGTCAGTTTGTAACCATTGGTGCGTCTCGGCTTTGCAATTCCACTTTCCACTTCGCTCTTGAATGCTGCTCTGCTTTGAGTCTCTCGGTGGTGGAAATTTTGTGTTGTCATTGCTGGTTCTTTGCAGTTGCAGCAAACCTAAGGGAAAATTAGAATATGTCCTCATCTTCATTGCTCTTGTCGGCCAGTCAGCAAAGAGGCATGCTATCCTTGAGCAGGCAAACCATTTACGCATGATATCCTTGGAAACAGACTCACAGAGACTGAAAATGAGCTCTCTTAAACCACCACTACGTTTCAGGCTGTGACGCTGCTAATCGTAGAAGTAGCTTACTCTGAAAAAATCGCCGCCAGGCCGTCATTGATAATGTTCATTGGCGGCGCGGCGCCCGGCCTGCGAATTTGAATGCAGAGACCCGCGGCCTGATATACGAGAAAGTTAATGGTGGTTTAAAGGAGTTTAAGCATTGGATCGTGGGATTGACATGAATTGGAGGGTGTCAGAAGTGTTGAAGCTCTTGAGTGAGCGAGATCGTGTGAGCTTCTATGTGTCATCACTGCTCTTCACTGGTGAAGGCTTGTGTGGCTTTTTGGTGATGCTTCCAGATTGTTCCAGAGGAGACGAATGTGCTTTATGTGGCAGCTTCAAGAGCTAAAACGAAACTTATAATGAACCCTGATCTCCAGTACATCATGCAGGGCAAGGTATCGATCAGTTTCTTACTACTCTGTTTGTTGAACTTCATTTCATAATTTCTTCTTTTTTTTCACAGCACTCAGGCCCCTTCTATTCTTGGGGCCGTCAGTCCGGTTGCTTATCACGGGCAAGCAGAGAACAAGTTCAGGTAATAGAAGGAAAGGAGGTCTCCGCCTGAAACCCCTGCCGCCCGAGACACTGTGCAGGGGGGATAGGGGGGAACCAGGGCGGTTGTCTCCCAACTCCTCCACTGGGGCGCACATAATGGCCGGGAAACAGGACTAGGTCCCCTGGGCGCCCCTCCAGTCACAAGGCATCGCAATTTTATGCCCTGTTCCGCCTATCCCTCACATCCTATTTTCCTTGTTCCTTATTCCAACACCTCACTTAAGTCACCTCCTGTCTCCCCCACATGCTCACCCCCTGCTACTGGGGCTCATATACCTACCATTTAACCCCAAAACACCCCACGAACAGCCATCTCGCGATTTCTTTTTTACTACCTTTGATTTTTTTATTTTTTTTATTTTTTTAACTACCCTATATACTTCTCTCATTATATCTTCCCCTACCTACCTACCTATCTACTCCTTTAGTCCAGTTGCATTTTTTCAAGGGATATCTATACAGACAAGCTGCCCGTCCTGAGAGTTATGGGTTGACCCGACCTCCTTCTACCTAATTCTGCTCTGTGCGGGGAGCAGTACCCAAGCTCCTAACACCTGGCATAGGCTGGAAAGAAAGAGGCACAGACTTCAACAACCAACGAGGAGGGATTAGCCAACTTTTTCAGTCCGTGAGCCCGAAGCATGCCACACAGGGGGTTGTGGGGAGTCGAATGGATGCCATGGGGAATCAAACCCATGACCTGCTGTGTACCACTTACGTGCTCAACCAACTGAGCTAGGCCGCTTGGCCTTTTATCTTGTTCTTTTCTCTTCGGTCTTTTATCTGCACACTCGTGTGATAATGTAGTTATGTTCTAAGCCAATCATGCATCAGACAAGCTGACCTACATGTACCTTCCTGTCAGCATGCACTGTTGCACCTACCGAAATGACAGCCACAAAGCGCAACACGTACAACCTCTCTCTCTCTCTCTCTCTCTCTCTCTCTCTCTCTCTCTCTCTCTCTCTCTCTCTCTCTCGCACACACCCACACACACACACACACACACCCACACACACACACACACACACACACACACACACACACACACACACACACGCACATCCTGCCCTCCACATATTTCTTTCCTTCCCGTTGCCCCTACCTTCCCTGCCCCATACTCCTATAGAACTCCGCCTTCTATCCCTTACCCTCCACCCACCCTCCACTCCACTCCCTTTGTGCAACTAACAAATACATACGAATGAGCATCATTAAGAGAACAGACGATATGAAGATCAGATATGAAATGAACGGAGTATGAAGATGAAGGACGGACACAAAGACTAGGTAAACACAAAGACTAAGTATAAGCTGAAGATCTGAAGTGAAATGAACAGGAGTATGAAGGTCTGAAGAGAAATGCATGGGAACATACCTTCCCTTTTGCTCTGCCTCTTGCAAGTGGGCTGTGAAGGCACACGGGGATGTGCGGCTGCCGCTCAACCACAATCAACGTGGGCAGCCTTGTACATAAGAGGCACAGTAAAAGGTGAGCTGCAAGAACAAATGGAAGGGGTACCCCAAGGACAACCAAAAAACTGTCTTATTAATATTATTATAAATTGCTTTAATATGTTGGACTGTCTCATCTCAAATGCTCTCGTTGTCTGCGATAGGACAAAGACTGCTTTGATTCTGAATCTACTCATCTGGGTTGAATTGGGGCTTTTGTGGGGAAAATCTATAACACACACACACACACACACACGAAGTGTGTTTCATTGTCTGCAATGGAGGTAAAGCTGCTTTGATTTTGGATCTACTCATCCGGGTGGAACAGGGGCTGTTGTCGTGAAAATCCAAAGCACACATACAGATTGGGGGTTCAATCAATTGGGTTTCATGATGAGAGGAGCAAATGACAGCCATGAAACAGACCCTTCATCTCTTCTGTTTTCTTTTTTGAGGGGGGGGTTGTGGGCGAGTGGGGAGATTGGGGGGTGAGGCAGGGTGTGATCTGTTAGGAGGTTTGTTTGTTTGCTGGTCAAACCTCATGCTGGTTATGTGTGTGTCTGTCTTTAATGACAGGGTAAAGGCACTTGGGGTAATCCGTACATCGTCCTGCGAATGGCTGCCGATGATGGAGTGCCCAAGTTATGCTCTTTCTGCAGGAAGCTGCTGGAGGAGAAAATCGCTATGGTCTGGGGCCATCATAGGGTTGATGTGGATCGGCCGAGGCGACCTGATGACGCTGATGCTGCTGAACATGACTGGACCTGGGCTTTGCGGGTCTGTTTTACTTGTGCAGGCTCGGGAAAAGATCTGGCTTCTCGCGTTGCTGTAACTTCAGCAGTCGTTCTAAATCTGCTGGTGAGCTGGCATCTGGCCTCGCCGGCACCCAAGAATGAGCAGAATGAGTAGAAAACTGTCATTGGTCGCTCTCATCACTACTGCTCGTCAGGCAAGTGCCTCTCCGCTTCTTCTTCGATGGACCAACTTTCTGGTGGAAGCTTTGTCCTGTCTACTACCTATGTAATGCAACTGATCATTAGGTCACCTTTTGTGTGGTCTGCAGAAGTAATTGGCGAAAATCAGTGGGAAATAGTCGGCAGAGCACTTCCGAACGTTAAACTGTGTTACTAGCTGGAGTGCCTACCGTCGCCGTCGCCGTCGCCCCCCGGAACACAATCCACCCTCATTTTGGCTCTATCTGGCTGGAAGTATAGCTTGTATGCATTCATTTTTAGGGTGCGTTATGTTCGGGGGAAGACGGTAGGCTTCATGATGTGCCTTGAAACCTTCTTTAAAGTCCTCCAATTGCTCGTCATGCTTCCGAGTGTGCCTGCCCGTACCTCAAGTTGTCTCTGGGTTACTCTTTTGAGTGTGCATGCACGTACCTCAAGTTTACCCTCAGCGACATGCACACGTGCCTGGACTTTACTGTGAGTAACACACACGCGTGTTCCTACCTCAAGTTAAAGTTCCAAGAAAAAAGACTTTCACTGTGTAAACTTTGACTGCCAGTGACGGGCGTGTCTCCAGTTTATTTTCAGCAGGGGTCCACTATCAGTAGCAGTAGTAGTGGCTCCTCAAATCACTCATCACAGGCGCGCTTCCGTGCTTATCTGAAGTATCCGGCAGGTAACACAACTGCACCTACCTAGCAAACATGCCTCGACTTTTTTTTTTCTTTTTTTTTTAAAGCTATATTCTTCTCTCATCTATCTCATTTTTCTTGCTAGTACTCGTCTATCTCATCCTCTCACTAGTGTATGTGTAGTACGGGGGGACACCAACCAACCCGGATCTCTCCCCAGCCCACGGGTTAGGTTGGCACCACAGCAGTGGTGCGAGAGCAGGGCTGTAAGCTTGTCTCATGTCCCTTGGAGTTTCTTGTGGATAACACAAGAATACCTTCCTCAGGCTTGTGGACTGTAACAGGTGTGTGTCAATTTTAAATTTTTTTACTCTCAGGAGGAATTTTTTTGACCGCCAGTGGCTGACTGTCAGTAGTTTTCTCCCCGAAATTGCTGATCGCTTCTTATGCACCTACTGGAAGTGGATGACTGACAGTAGTTTACTCTCAGGAGGAATTTTTTTGACCGCCAGTGGCTGACTGTCAGTAGTTTTCTCCCCGAAATTGCTGATCGCTTCTTATGCACCTACTGGAAGTGGATGACTGACAGTAGTTTACTCTCAGGAGGAATTTTTTTGACCGCCAGTGGCTGACTGTCGGTAACGAAAACGCGAACCTCAAGTTTTACTGTGGGTGGAAAATATGCCTCAGGGTTGCTGTTGGCAGCAAATTTTCTACTGGTACCAATTCCTCATGGCTTCTGAGTGTACCCTTCATATCTTTCATCCCAGCGAAGTGTTGCTCGAGTTTTCTCATTGAACTTCCAGGACCCTGCGTTGCCATCGATTTTTCTTGGCCTCAGGCTCTCAGTGTTTTTACGAGGCTCGGCGCAGAACTTCACAGTCGGGCCAAAAATTCCATAGCCTTTTCTGCTTTATGTGTCTGGGCAGTGGCGATTTAAAGAACCTCTACTACCTTGGAGGGCCGCCACATTTCTCTCCTGGCGACGGACATTGTAAGGTGAAGAGAGGCGAAGCAGAGATCCGGTTGAGGGCTCATCCGATGCAAGCAGAGGGTGGCCGCCATGGAAGAAGCAACCAGAGGGTGGCCTCAAAATTTTCCTAACTTCGCCTCTCAGGCGAGCTTCGGAAACCTGTTTGATCCTCTGACGTAGCAACAATCTGGTAGGCTCGGCAGGTCAGTCCCTGAGGTCAATCTGGTGGTTTCGCCTTTTGATTTCAATTTTCAACATCATTCATTGGTAACTTTTTTTTCAGTACAGTGCTTAGGCGTGGTAGAGAAGAACCTACCTGGTCCTGGTGCGCACTGAGGAAGGGGTGCTTCCGCAGTGTGCACCAGGTAGGTTCTTCTCAACAACATCACGAGGGGTGTTTTTGTCAACTTCCTCAGGGCGTGCAAGGCGTGTGTCAAACCCACCCCTTGTGTAATGCACTCCTCCTGCCTGGTAGTTTGCAGTTCTGCACCAGTCAGAATCCATTCACGCAGGCAATGAATTTCATTTCGGAAAACAAAGAAAGGAATTTGCCGTCATCAGCATAGTTTGGTTCCCGCCCCATTGCGCATTGTCTTCAGCTTAGGGTCTTGACTCTTAAGTAAGCTAGCTCTGTGTCATCACAAGTTTCTTGCTTGGGGGCTGTTTGGGGCCGTTTGAGGCCTTTTGAGGCTGATTGGGGTTGTTTGGGGTGTCTTTTGTTATGCACAGCATCTCCCATCTGCCTCACCCTTCTTTCCTGGGCCCCTTGCCTGATTTGTCGAAGAACTCTCCTGCGCTCGTGCATGCAATCGAGTTCTGCCACTCCCTTAAGGGAAGTAGAGATCTCCCTTGACCTTCAGTCAATATTCTTCATTGTTAGTACTGCATCAGTTGGGCCATTTTTCGTTGTAGATCATCGATGTACAGTTGGTACACACTTGAACTGTTGAAATAAAGACGCGAGTTTTAAACTCCACCGGAAGCAGATGAGTGAAATACTACAGTTCTGCATTACCTAGGGCCGGTCAGTTCGATGATGGTATCTCAAGGCCATCGCCTTTCTTTTAAAAAAAAGGAATAAAAAAAGGAAAATTTTTCAAAAAAAAGAAAATGTACAGTTACCAAAGAGACAGGTGCCGGAAAAATAGGGGGAAGAGAGAGGAGGGGGGGGGGAGAGGAGGAATCAAAAAATCCAATGTAATGATTGTGACTTGGATGTTTTGGCCTTTCACCAAGGCTTCAGCTAGAAGGATGACGCAACTCTCGCTGAAGCAGTTATTCAGGTTCAACAATGAGTGTCATTTTGTCTCCCACCCACCCACCCACCCACCCCAACCCCACCCCACCCTCTTTCTCTTCTGAAACGTAGCCTTGTGTCCATGACCATTGCAGTGTTCATCAAGCCTAGAGATGATTTTCTTTCTTTTTCTTCTTTTTAAGAAAGAAAAAACAGAGATGGTTGATTAGTCTTACCATTGTGAAGACCTGTGTGTCAATTCTGCGATCCGAGAAAGTCACAGGGTTACTTGTAAATCTGTTCTTTTCCCCTTCCTGTTTGTAAATCTGTTTTCAAATTTTCACAACTTTTCAGTTGTGATCTATGCTTTAGAACCATTTGTAAATCTGTTTTCAAATTTTCACAACTTTTCAGGCCTGACATGTTGCACTGCACGTTGGCCACATCGGAGATTGTTGAATTATTAGAATTAGTGAGTTCCATCATTTTTTTTATTATCCCGTGGAGTAATTTCAGCCAGGACCTCGGAGAATCGTCAACTTTTGGTGGTTTCAGTTTCTCCGTTGTTCGCCTTCGTAAAGATGGTTTCGCTGGTTTGAGGGCGTATTCGCATTAGCTGGACCCGATTTCCCCGAATAGATGGAGCCTTCTCCCCGGGTGCTAGTTTCAGGTGATGCTCCCCACGAATAGATGCAGTTTCAGGTGATGCTCCCCACGAATAGATGGAGCCGCTCCCCCGGTGCTAGTGCTACCAGTAGCACTAGCACTGCAGGGTGTGTTGTTAAAAAAAAAAAAAAAGCACCATCTTGAGTTCTTTAGTGTATCTGACCACATTTACGCCTGAACCTGGATGTAACTGGCCACAATATCCCGGTGAGTTCATCCAATGTATAGTTTTGGTGATTTTTGAAATTCCATGTCAGCATGACAATGGTCCCTCTGACATTGTCATTGTCAGCACCTGGCAATGGCCAGCCTGCCTGCCTTTTCTTTTTTTCTTTTCTTTTCTCAGCCATTGTCAGTTCCTAGACTCGTTTCAATCGCATGCCTCTTCTCATAGCAGTTTTGCAGAACTCGATTCGCAAAAAAGGGGAAAAGAGGTGAAGGGGGAGGGGGGAAGCAGTATTGCAACCTGAGTTTGTTGTATTTTAACCTGAGTTTTTTTTCTTTTGTCTTCTCCTCATCGGGGGACAGCCATATATTTTTCTCTCACCTCACATATCTTTTTAACTGGCGTACTGCCATGTCATGGAACCTATCTTTCTTTTCATTACCTACCAGGCTACCACTATTCCTAAGGCTATACAGGGGACCCCTGCATCCTTCACCGAAGAGAGGTAGAAAGCTATGCTTGCAACCTGAGTTTGTTGAATGCAGCCGCAGGGCACTTGTGCAGTGAGGAAACCTCAAGTCGGATTGGGTAAGGTTAGTGAGCCGGAAGAGTCGGTAGGAGCTGGAAGAGAGAAATAGGGGAGTCGTGGTCGGGATAATGTCTCCTGCGGAGTCTAAGGCGGAGCAATGCCTACCCGGTGTGCGGGGGAGATTTGAATGGACTCTCTCCCCTATGGTCGAGAATTCCCGCTAAGATAACAGATCCAGCGGTGGGTGCTTCTACATGAGCTTCAGGTAACCAAATATGAACTGGTACCATAGGTACTTTCACTGCAAAAGATGCAAAAAAAAGCAATCCATAGCAATATTTGACGTCGTTCGCTAAATTCTGTTGTTAATAAGATCGGGATAACATCCCCCTTCAGAGTTAGAGTTGGAAGAATGCCTGCCCGGTGTCTGGGGGAGATTTCAATGGACTCTCTTTTTTGAAGTTTTTTCCCTTTTTTGCTTTTTTTTTCTCCTTTCTACATGAGTCATCCTTGCGCAGGGGGCTCTAATTGAGTATGAGCAACGTTTTTGCTGTCTTGAGTAGAGGTGCATGAGACAAGTACAGGGGAAGATTCGTTTGGAAGGTTGTGACCCGTACGTTTGACTACATCCATGTGCCATTCTGTGTCTCAACGACTACATACATATACATGGATGGCATTCGGAGGTGAGTAACGAAGATGATTTGAGCTGGAAGAACTGAGATTCTGTGATCGAGTTCAGTCTATGTTTCGAAGCTCATGCTCATATGTGCCCTCCAAGTCTTTTTTCTTGCCGGCTTCCGGGATTGAACGGATGTTGCTCATCGCATGTATGGGCATGTGAGGTCTGAGATTTGTAAAAGGTTCATTGCGTCATGGGTCTTGTTGTGGGGAGAGGATCTTCCCAATGCTTCTGCAATCATAAAGGTAACCTCTTACCTTCTATGACTTTGTTTC